AAAAAAAAAAAAAAAAAAAATTTTGAAAAAAAAAAAAAAAAAAAAAAAATATATATATATATACTGTATATTAAAGTAAACTTTTGTAATGGTGAACTGCAGTTATTATTGAGTTTAAAATTGTGAAAAAAACCTAAAAGAAATAATGACCAGTTTATAACATCTAGCATTAAACACCTCCCTTAGATAGCTGAATTAAAACAATATTAAAAATGATACTGCATCTAATATTAAATACTTTCCCTTAAATATTACACAAAAAAGACTGAAAAAAATTACAAAAATAAAAAGCATTTACTATTAAATATTTTGCCCTTAAATAATTACATTAAAAATAGTAACACTTAAGAAAATATATAAAAAATAATACAACATCTTATATTAAATTATACACTTTCTTTGAGAGGCATGTGAGGCCATATGGAAGTAGTCTGGATGTTTAAAACACTGTTTTGTGACATTTTGTACCTTCTCCTTTTCATCAAAGAGTTGGTCTCCAACTTGGGTTTTGAAAGGTTGTGTAGCCAGAAGCATCTGCATTCATATTTTGCTGTGTTTTGATACATAAAGTGTAAGTTTCAAAACAGAACTGTAGCATCCGATGTCTTCAGTTCAGTGCTGCTTCATTTTTGGCATGTAATACATTTCTTGTTAGACCCTCAGACCTCTTTCTTCTGTCTTGAATGGTCATCCAGATCTTCTTTTCTCTTTGAAGGGCCGGTATAGTTCAACAGATCATTGACCTCTTGGCTGCAATCCTCATGTGACCCTAACATCTGTTGATGCCGTTGGTTTCAGGAGAATTATGTTTGGAAAGCCTTTCTGCTTCATTTGAATCAATGTATTGACTTAAATGAACTTCAATGCAAGTCCAGGCTAGTTTATGTTGTTTTTTTGCTGATTTAGCTGGTGGATCAGTGAAGTTGTGTTTTTCAGTAGCAGTGTGAGGCTGATGGACCAGCGTGGGTCTTTCAGAAGAAGCTGATTGAAAAAGGAAGCCTTGCTGGTTAAGCTAGTTAAGAAGACTGGTGGGACACCAGCAAACCAGCATCCCATGCTGACCACCTGCATCCAAATCACAACATGTGCTGGTGAGCAGCTGATCAGAGAGAAGCAGACCAGATGAATCTCTGGGAAGCAGTTTTGGGATTCCTGTGTCTTGGGAATGAGTTTCAGGGTTTTTTGGGTGGGTCACAAGATCTATTTTTGGGAACACTTTAGACTCTTCTGCCTCCAGATGTTGTTTGTGTGTTTATGCTTTTATGCATTACATTTTCAAAGACAACATCTCCTTGACAACCTCTCACATGATGTGGTTAGGGGTGAAGTAGAAGCTACTATCATGCTATGATATATGTTTGATTAGTAAATGTCTTCTGAAGGAAAAGATTCATGGGGAATCCAGCATTAAGGTGTGTAGCTAATTGCATTTTCTGTAATTATAGAATGGCTGGTTACTTGGGACTGTTGGTTAAATTTGCAATACTCGAAACATCAGCCTTGTTTCTCTCTTGGAGTTATACGACTTAAAATGACAAACATGTGAGTCCCTTTCATCATGAGGGACAAATTTGCCTCAAGGGCCAAGAAGTTTGAATCAAGAATTTTTTTTTTGTCCCTACAGTTAGACAAACGATTTTCATCTCATGAACTGCTCATCTAATTGATCTACTATTTTTTTTAGATAGCTTTATGAGTTTACAAAATTTGTTGAGATTAAAAATTTAACTTTTTAAAATTTATTATTAAATTATTATTATTCATTTATTTTTATTTGTTTTGCATGCATGCAGATTTTTTTGTCTGAATGCCCAGTTTACAGAATTGTATTAGCCCATGCACACACATAAAAAGTTAGAAATTATAAATAATAAATTGTAGGTTTTTAATTTTCAAAAGAGTACAAAATTTTACTGCTACATTGTAATTACATCATAGCTGAAAAATTCATAAATATATATTTTTACTGGAGAGATATTTTTGAAAATTATATTTGAAGATAATTTTAATAGATTTTTTAATGAATCTAAAATTTAAAAATCTAATTTTAAGACCATCCAGTAAATAATAACTTGTAATAGCAAATAGTAAACTTGTTTGTTTGTTTGTCTTGCCAGGATATATCATTAATGGTTTTTTGCACAAAAAAAAAAATTATAATAATAAAAAAATATTTTTTTTTGTTTTGTTTGATTTAAAAATAGTAATAATAATATTAAAAGATAATGAAAACTGTAATGTAATTCCATGATAGCTGAAAATATACTTTTGCTGGAAAAAAGGATCCAGGGAATTGTTCATACATTTCTAATAGATTTTTTTTAAAGACTATCAATTTCATTAAAACAGTTATTATTATAAGAAGATGACTGAGCTTGTGGTTGTTGTGGTTTAAGATTTCGAACGTATACGTGCAGAATATAGAAATTGTTCTGGGAGCAATGGGTAAGAAATATGAATGGACAGGTATAGTGGCAATATTTGACCGTCAACCACTAGATATTTCAACTTCTTTTTTACAGTCGATTCATTATGCTTCCGCTAAATGCTGCTTAAAGCTATAGATTTTTGTTCTCGCATTTAATTGCAGGCAAGTTTTCAAAGGTCATAGAGGATAGACCACAAAATTAATTTGATTATATCCAGCCAGTTTCCAGACAGGGAAGGAGGGAGGGAGTGAGAGACAAACAGAGAGACATTCCTCCAGGGTCCCTCCCCTGTGGTTTGTTATGTGCACAAGCTGAAGAATGCGTGTGTATGGGCTCCTGCCAAACCCACAAGCCCAACTCTCTTACAATGCTCTATCCAATAATACCACTTGATTTATTACCTGGATTTGGCAACTAGTAGCAGGTTGCACAGCGCAGGTCTTCAAATATTATGTGGGCGGTTAATAAGACATTGCTCATACTGAATGGAATCTTCCAGACAAATTGGTTGAAGATGTGTGTGTGTGTGTATTCAGGTCTTAAAAATCCTGTTGTGTATTTCCTTTCAGAGTCACGAGGATACATGGACAGCATGACACATACATCTATGTCATCCGACGGAGAGCTCTTCCACTCTGATGTCACAGGAAGTCCCGCCTCCTGTCAGAGGATGTTTGGATCTATGCACTCTATGTCCACCCCCAGCCCATTGGTCAACACAGACAGGTACTGTCTGTCAATCATAATAGGGTTTCTCAATATATTGGTACCATATCTGTCAGTCAGTATTGGTTTTTCCCAATTTTACATTTAGATTACATTTGCCGTCATTAAACGCTCATTAAATCTTTTAATTTAATAATGCTGTGATATGTAATCTTTAGCAAATATTAAAATGAACATCCATTTTTTCATAAATATTCGTACATTATAATATTGTGATGCCTAAATCCACTTGTAGTATTTAAAATGACTGATTTTAATTTTTAGTTATTTATTTTCAAAAAACTGTGTGTGTGTGTGTGTAAATTATATATATATATAATATTTTTTTCATAAGGTTTTTTTTTCTTCAAAAAAAGAAATACTTAATTTTATTCATTAGGGACACACTGGATTGATCAATAGTGACATTTATAATGTTATAAAAAATCTATTTCAAATAAATGCTATTCGTTTGACGTTTCTATTCATCACAGAATCTTGAAAAGAATCACAGTTTCCACAAAAATATTAAGCACCACAACTGTTTTCAACACTGATAATGATAAAAAAAAGATTCTTGAGCACCAAATCAATATATTAGGAGGATTTCCAAAGGATCACGTGACATTGAAGACTGGAATTATGGCTGCTGAAAATTTAGATTTGCCTCACATGAATAAATTACATTTTTAAATATTTTCAAATAGAAATTGGTTCTTTAAATTGTAATAATATTTCACAATATTATATTAGTATTTTTGATCAAATAAATGCAGCCTTTGTGAGCATAAGAGACTTCATTAAAAAATATATAATAATAATAAATAAATAAATTGGATGTAAATTTATATTTACATTTTTTTTTATAATCTTAAATCTTAATTTAATACATTATAATAATTACATATAATATATAGCAATAATTTTTGACTAGTTCATAGTATCGGCCAAAATTGTTTTATTACTGCATTCCTAGAGGTCAATCAAATCCTCTCTCATCCAATTGAAGTAAATCCTGGCTTTTCAATAACAACAGGCTACTTGTGTGGTCTGTTGTGTATCTAGTCTATATTTAACAATGTATAAACACATGGTGGGGTGTGTTTGTCTATGCACAGGATATGTAGGATAACTCTGTGCTGTTTTCTATTCTCCATGCAGTCCCACCCCAGCTCATTCCTGGTTAGAGGGTGGATCCAGCACCCCATTGAGCCACTACACCCCTCAGCCCTCTCCACCCCTCACCCTCTCGGCCCCCAACTCCCACAGCTCCCCTCGCGGAGCCCCTCGCGGAGCCCCCCGCGGCCTGCCCTCCTCTCTGGATGTCGGGGGACTGGAGAGCAGCCTGCTGGAGGCGGTGGAGGGTCTCGAGGCTCTCGGTCTGGATGTGGCTCAGCCTCCCTTTCTGCCCCTGAAGAGACGAGGGACTGAAAGCTCAGAGACCATGTTCCCGCTCAGCAGGAGTGCAGTCAGCACGTCCTATGCCAGTCACAACACCTCACCTACCAGATCTACACCAAGTCCAGGTTTGTAGTGTGTCTGTCTGTAAGCGCACACACACAGGCATATTAACACGTCACATATATTGTGATATTCTTCTTCTTTGCAGATTTTATGGCCAGTAAATCAGAAAATGTGAAGTTCGTTCAAGATACGTCAAAGTTTTGGTACAAGCCAGACATCTCGAGAGAGCAAGGTAACAATATTAGATCCTCAGTAGGCCTAAGCTGAATTCGGAGTCATGTTAAAGGTATTGTTCACCCAAAAATGAAAATGTTGTCATCATTTCCTCACCCTCATGTTGTTCCAAACCTGTGTAAGTTTCTTTCTTATGTTGTGTTGAGTTTCTTAGATATTTTGAAGAACCAAATAGTTTTTGGTCCCCATTGACTTCCATAGTAGGGAAAGAAATACTATGGAAGTCAAAGGGGAGCATCAACTTTGATTACCAACATTCTTTAAAATATCTTCTTTTATATTCAGCATAAGAAAGAGACTCATACAGGTTTGGAATGACACGAGGATGAGTAAATGATGACAAAATTTTCATTTTTGGGTGAACTAACCCTTTAAATGTCTATGGCTGTGAGGGATATACATTATCACTCAAAACTTTGGGGTCGGTAATTTATTTATTTATATATATTTTTTTTGATAGAAGTCTGCATTTTTTTTTAGCAAAAATACAGTAAAACAGTAATATTGTGGAAAAAAATTTAAGAATTTAAAATACATTTCTATTTTAAATATGTTTTTTAAATGTAATTTATTCATGTGCTGGCAAAGCTGTATTTTATGCAGCAATTACTGCAGTCTTCAGTGTCACATGATCCTTCAGAAATCATTCTAATATGCTGATTTGCTGCTCAAGAAATATTTATTATGATTATCAATGTTAAAAACCGTTTTGATTAATATTTTTGTGGAAACTGTGGTTAATTTTTTTTTCCAGAATTCTTTGATGAATAGAAAATTCCAAGCATTTATTTGAAATAGAAATATTTTGTCACATTATAAAAGTCTACGCTGTCACTTTTGATCAATTTAATGTGTTTTTGTTGAATTAATTAATTAATTTCTTTAAAAAAAAAAGTTACTTCTGTCCCTCACAGCCTTGTTTTCACTTACTATTTTTTTTTTTAAAGCAGACTGAAAGAAGTTCAGTTGTTTTCAATCATTTTAAGCCCTGGAAATTATTTTTAAACTTCTTTTACTGAATCATTTTGTTCAGATTTATATTAAGCAGCTTTATATTAACCAGTTTATTTGCCTCCTTGTCAGCATCTGTGCCAATGCTGCATTTTACATCTTTTTTGTGCAGCATTCAAAATAATATTATTGATTTTGGATCAATAAAAAAAAAAAAAAAATGTAAATGGTGGTTTGTAATGTAAATTTATCAACTGATTGTTCTCAAAGTAGCTTCCATTACTCCATCTTTGTCTATCTCGGCTAAGGTTTGTTTATAAGCGTTACTTCCTCTTTGCTTCTTTAATTAGGATGACGGCAGAATGCATCAGTATATTTTTTATTTTATTTGTTGTAGCTATTGCCATTCTCAAGGATAAAGAGCCAGGCTCCTTCATCATCAGAGACAGTCACTCATTCAGAGGAGCTTACGGATTGGCTATGAAGGTGGCCACGCCCCCACCCTCTGTTCTACAGCAAAGCAGAAAAAGTAAGAGAACGTTACATACACATGACTTTTGATAACAACTCTCACATTTACACTCACTCGAGCTGAACAATGACGCAATGCCCATAAACTGTACAAGTTGAGAACATATTTCATGTTTGGAAAAGTGCTTTGTGTGGTAAATATCCAACCACGGTTCCCGATTTAAGACCAGCGGTTTGTAATGGCCAGCACTTTGTCTGCATAAAAGGGGCAAATATGAACTGTCCATAGAGTCTGAATATACAGGGCAATTCCTTGAATGAACTGCGGTGAAATTTTTGATGGACTTTAAGACCCTGGAGAACAGGACGTCCCAACACTATTGTGTGAGAAACAGCTGAATGAGTGAACACAGCTGGAGCGTTCATATCCAGAGCCCCTCCGTAAACACGGTGTGTCTCTCAATCAGAGGAAGGAAGGGAGGCACACACACACACACTATCCATCTCCTTCTGATTCACAATTCTAGGTGGCTCCTTAAGTGGGGTTTCACGCAGTATTAAGCTGTTTTTTTTTCTGTACCATTGGAAATTAAATTTAGCTTTATCTTTAGAGATAAGAGTTAATTGTATGAAAACATATTCTGAGTCTATTTTCAACATCAGATACGCCTGGTGTTCAGAAACTTGGACCGGCCAATCAGGCTGAGGTATTAAGGAGGAAGTAGGATGCATACTGTTGTTCCTAAATGCCAGGTGAACTAATGATTAGAGTAAAATGCAGGAAAGTCCTTCTGAAGGATCTCAAAGTTAGAAACAATCAGTTGAAATGCTGTTTATAACAACATCCCTGATCATTTCTGAGCAACTTTTATAGTTTGCACTTTGCATGGCACATTTCAGTGCAGATTGTTTTTGTTTGTTATTGAAGCATTTAAATATATAATGTACTTACTAAACCCATATGACAGTGCTATTTCTCATTTCACTTATGAAGAGAGCATTTAAAAAGACACAACAACAAAAAAACAGTCAGATTAATTCTAAGGGTCAGTGAGAGGATGGAAAATGCTTATAAAAATGCTTAATTATGAATGTATTACTAAAACAAATACAGACATTACAACTGAGCTTTAAATAAGTAAAACAAATACAAATAATATGGTAGAATTCTTGAGGAGAAATAACTATATAAACAAATAAGACAATTTTCAGTGAGACAACGGTGTTGAACTATAAAGTTGCTTTGTGCAGACCATTGAAGTCTCTAACTTTTGCTTGCAGACGTTGATATCTTAGGAAATCCAAGCACAGTTGGAGACAATGTTGAGATCTCTTCTGAAACCATAGGAGCCACAAGTGAGATTATCGAATTTTCAGGAGAAAAATCTGAGCTGGGTTTTTGCTCTTAATCACAATTCTGTTCAGGAGAAACGATCAAGCTTGATTTTGTTCATGATTTTTTTTTTCTTCCTTTGGATTCTATCTTCTATATATACAGTGCCTTGCGAATGTATTCATACCCCTTCGTTTTTTTCACATTTTGTTTTGTTGCTGCCTTATGTTAAACTGCTTTAAATTCGTTTTTTTCCACAACAGTCTACACTCCATACACCATAATTGTCAAGCAAAAAAACAGGTTTTTAACATCTTTGCAAATTTATTAAAAATAAAAAAATTTAATGATTCCATTGCATAAGTATTCATATTCAGTTTTTTATTTTTAATAAATTTACGAAGTTGTGACAATTCTGTTTTTGCTTTGTCAGTATGGTGTATGGAGTGTATATTGATGTGGAAAAAACGTAATTTAAAGAAGTTTATCATAAGGCAGCAACATAACAAAATGTAAAAAAAAAAAAATGAATGGGTATGAATACTTTCGCAAGGCACTGTATATATGTGGGTCTTTTCAAATTGGGTCAACACCTCTGCATCCATTTCCTCTTGCTACTACATATGTGTTAGCATTGCTGCTTTGGTAATTAAAAATAATTTTACAAATGAAGTAATTTCCTATCTCTGTGCACAGTGGGTGATCTGTCCAATGAGCTTGTGCGGCATTTCCTGATCGAGTGCACACCGAAAGGAGTGCGGTTAAAAGGCTGCCCCAACGAACCTTATTTTGGTAAGTATCTGTTAATGTCTGTGTGAATGTTAATAAAAGACAGAGTGCTGGTTAGAGCTTCATCATTGCATGGTCAGGATCTCCCTCTAGTGGCTGTAGTCAGGAGCATCGTGCAACTGTTCCCCTTTTCGTTTCACTCCCTCTAAAGTTTGGGGTCAGTAACTTTTTATAATACTTTTATTCAACAAGGATACATTAAATTGATCAAAAGTGACATTTGTATTGTTGGAAAAGATTATTTTGAACTTTTCTATTCATCAAAGAATCTTGAAAAAAAAATATCACTTGTAAAAAAATAATAAAAAATATAATAATAAGCACAACTGAGTGTGTGTGTGTGTGTGTGTGTGTGTGTGTATATATATACAACAGTTCGTTCTGGTTCTCAAATCTGATTGGTTGAGAACCGTGAGATATTGTACTGGTATCGCTACAGGTACGCCTTTCACAATTTTGTATCACTCCGCTTGTTCTAGCCGGGTCTATGTTTTTTTTTAATTATTCACCGAGCTAATCGTAGAGTACGTTAAGCCCGGCTCACACTGTGCGATTTTGGCCACGATTTGGTCGTCTGAGACAAATTTAAAAAATCCTAAAAGATTCCTATAATCCTAGGCTAAAATTAATGACCGTTGCGATCAAATTTTACCTCCGACGAACTTCTGGCAGTGTCAGAAGATTTGGTGCACAGTCCTGCATATATTGTGTTTCCTGTATGTTCAGGAAGTCTCACAAATCTTGTGTAATATAACTTGTGTTTGTTTGTTTGCTGTTTTTTATTGTATTTGTTATACTTGTATTTTTTAATTGTTTTTGCCATGAAAATAGCCTAAGATGCTGGCATGGCATTAAATAAATATATACTACTATACAGGAAGTCTCACAGCTTTGGTGTGTCAGCATTCAATCACACCCTTGGCTTTACCGTGCAGACTCATCATCCCAAACAGAGGTATGTTATGATATTAGGGTGTGTCTGCGTGAGTTTTATGTTTTTAGTGTTTCTATGCTAACTGAAGACTTCTTTTAGATCCTCTAGAGGAGTTAAATGAATCTTCATCACAGACTTCATCTACAAACTCTGCAGCAGAGCTACTCAAACAGGGAGCAGGTAATGAAATATCTGAACAATATCAGTTATTATTTGATCTCATCCATGTGTTAATGTGTGTGTGTTGTTGCTCAGCATGTAACGTGTGGTTCCTGGGCAGTGTGGATCTGGAGTCTCTGACAGGAGTTCAGGGTGTTCAGAAGGCCACCACTGTGATTTTCAGTATGGATCCACCACCCACATCCACCGTCGTTCACTTTAAAGTGTCTGCACAGGGAATCACCCTCACGGACAACCAGAGGAAGTGAGTCTCTCTCTTTATATTTCAAATATTGAGTTATATTTAGATGGGTTTAGGGGGAGTTAGTGATCATGTATTGTTGTCAGTGAAATGGTACATTTATGCTAGCAATCTTTTCTGAATAATGTTGTAGTGGAAATGTTTCTATTTTGAAAGCTAATCTTAGGTAAAGTTGTGTAATGTGTTATCCCACATCTCAATAATCACCTGTTGTTTTTGTGTATAATTGTTCAAAGGTTTGGGGTCTGTAAAATGTTTTTAAAAGTGTCTTATGCTCACCAAAGCTACATTTAGTTGATTAAAAAAACAGTAATGTTATGAAATATTATTCCAATTTAAAATAACTGTCTTCTACTTGTAAATAATTTCAAATGTAATTGATTCCTGTGATGCAAAGCAGAATTTTCAGCATCATTACTCCAGTCTTCAGTGTCACATGATCCTTCAGAAATCATTCTGATATGCTGATTTGCTGCTCAAGAAACATTTGCATATTTTTGTGGAAACCATGATACTTTTTTTCAGGATTCTTTGATGAATAGACAGTTCAAAGGAGCAGCATTTATTTGAAATAGATTTTTTTTTAAACATTGTAAATATCTTTACTGTTACTTTTAATCAATTTAATGCAAAGTAATCAAGAGTGATAAAAAAAAAACTGTCCCAAACATTTGTACAGTAGTGTAAATTTACACATAGAAACTTTATATATGTACATATATACATATAATGTTGTCCTGAGTTTTTATATTACTGTGTGTTTCCAGATTGTTCTTCAGGAGACACTATGCTGTCAACACAGTGATATTCTGTGCCCTGGATCCTCAGGACAGGAAGTACGTAACACACACACACACACACTGCCATCTTGTTTGCCTGCTTTCCATTAATCTATAGTCATCTATAGTCTTACATTTTTTACATTTGTAAAGAAAATTTTAGACTTCACAATGTAATTGAATTTTTTGGTGTAAGTGGGTTTTTGTTGGATGTTCTGACTTCTTTCCTGCACTATTCACAGGTGGACACGGGACGGCTGCACAACTGCAAAGTAAGTTTTAATCAGGCTATCTCAGTTCTGAAGTAGTGCCAGTTATGTATTTGAGTGTGTATATTTATTCATAGTTGTGTATGCGTGTGTGTGTAAAACAGGATCTTTGGCTTCATTGCGAGGAAAAGCGGGAGCAGCACAGAGAATGTGTGTCACCTGTTTGCCGAACACGACCCCGAGCAGCCTGCCAGTGCTATTGTCAACTTTGTCTCTAAGGTGATGATCGGCTCTCAGAAGACCAAATAGAAAAATCATAAGCAGAGATTTCTGCTGAACTGCGAAGGGGACAGACTCTACATCCTTAATTTCAAATGTTGAAGTGGAAACCGAATTTACAGTTTCGCTACTGTTATGTGACCGCTTTTACTTGCTGATGGTGTAGAAACAGTGAAACGTCAGTATTGGAATGGATGAAACTTTATTTTATGTTGGATTCTCCCCGTTTTTTGGACCAGATACACAGGTAAACTTCATGGGAGCCAGGAACAAATTTTATAGGTGGGCTGCCCTTTCACAAGGCCCGGGACAACATTCCCAATTGTCCCACCTGATGACGACCCTAAAAAAAATCCATTCCACAGGAAATCTTTGACATCTATGCAGCACTGTTGCATCACAGGACACGTCCAGAAGAGGGCGCCACACTTCTTCGGCTCATTCTCGCACTGCCATAAACACAGTCTGCTCAAAGCAAACTTAAAAGCCTGAGAGGAAAACAACTTACGGTTATTTTATTGTATATGCCTTTTTTGCTACTTTGTTTGCAGTATTTCTGAGGTCCTCGGTTTCGTTTGGAAATAAAAATGATTGAGGTGTAAATGTAGATTAATTTCCATGTTGTGTCTGGTCACATACATCCACAAGATGCAGACCAAAGAGAATTCTGAATTTTGCATATCAGTTTACAAAATTTAAATGTTTTTGATTTTATATATGTGTATACATTATCAAATACTACTTTAAAAAATGTATAGCTCAAAATATTAAATTGTTGTTTATCTCTGTATTTGTTTATAAGTGCCGAGCTAACATTTTCAGTCAATGCCAAGTGGTTTCCTTAAAAAGCATATTGACTTTGACTTTGTTTATATATTTGGAAATATTTATCATATAACTCATATTCTGTGTATACTCATCTCTTACTCATCTATGCGGCATGAGAGTTAAAGGGATAGTTCACCCAAAAATGAAAATGACCCCATGATTTACTCACCCTCAAGCCATCCTAGGTGTATATGACATTCTTCTTTCAGACGAATAAAATCGGAGTATTAAAGGTGCTGTATGTAGGATTGACACCGAGTGGTTGAACTAGGTATTGCAGTCCAAATTCAAAATATTGGAGAGGGTTTTTTTTCACCCGGCCCCTCCTCCTCAGACGTGACGCACACGCAGGTTGCCAGATTGACGACACCAATAGGAACGAGCGCACTTGACGATGAATGAAATTAAATACGCTGTGTTTTCCGCCAACTGGCAACCCGGGGTGCCGAAATACAATTAGAAGGCCACCACTGTGATTTTCAGTATGGATCCACCACCCACATCCACCGTCGTTCACTTTAAAGTGTCTGCACAGGGAATCACCCTCACGGACAACCAGAGGAAGTGAGTCTCTCTCTTTATATTTCAAATATTGAGTTATATTTAGATGGGTTTAGGGGGAGTTAGTGATCATGTATTGTTGTCAGTGAAATGGTACATTTATGCTAGCAATCTTTTCTGAATAATGTTGTAGTGGAAATGTTTCTATTTTGAAAGCTAATCTTAGGTAAAGTTGTGTAATGTGTTATCCCACATCTCAATAATCACCTGTTGTTTTTGTGTATAATTGTTCAAAGGTTTGGGGTCTGTAAAATGTTTTTAAAAGTGTCTTATGCTCACCAAAGCTACATTTAGTTGATTAAAAAAACAGTAATGTTATGAAATATTATTCCAATTTAAAATAACTGTCTTCTACTTGTAAATAATTTCAAATGTAATTGATTCCTGTGATGCAAAGCAGAATTTTCAGCATCATTACTCCAGTCTTCAGTGTCACATGATCCTTCAGAAATCATTCTGATATGCTGATTTGCTGCTCAAGAAACATTTGCATATTTTTGTGGAAACCATGATACTTTTTTTCAGGATTCTTTGATGAATAGACAGTTCAAAGGAGCAGCATTTATTTGAAATAGATTTTTTTTTAAACATTGTAAATATCTTTACTGTTACTTTTAATCAATTTAATGCAAAGTAATCAAGAGTGATAAAAAAAAAACTGTCCCAAACATTTGTACAGTAGTGTAAATTTACACATAGAAACTTTATATATGTACATATATACATATAATGTTGTCCTGAGTTTTTATATTACTGTGTGTTTCCAGATTGTTCTTCAGGAGACACTATGCTGTCAACACAGTGATATTCTGTGCCCTGGATCCTCAGGACAGGAAGTACGTAACACACACACACACACACTGCCATCTTGTTTGCCTGCTTTCCATTAATCTATAGTCATCTATAGTCTTACATTTTTTACATTTGTAAAGAAAATTTTAGACTTCACAATGTAATTGAATTTTTTGGTGTAAGTGGGTTTTTGTTGGATGTTCTGACTTCTTTCCTGCACTATTCACAGGTGGACACGGGACGGCTGCACAACTGCAAAGTAAGTTTTAATCAGGCTATCTCAGTTCTGAAGTAGTGCCAGTTATGTATTTGAGTGTGTATATTTATTCATAGTTGTGTATGCGTGTGTGTGTAAAACAGGATCTTTGGCTTCATTGCGAGGAAAAGCGGGAGCAGCACAGAGAATGTGTGTCACCTGTTTGCCGAACACGACCCCGAGCAGCCTGCCAGTGCTATTGTCAACTTTGTCTCTAAGGTGATGATCGGCTCTCAGAAGACCAAATAGAAAAATCATAAGCAGAGATTTCTGCTGAACTGCGAAGGGGACAGACTCTACATCCTTAATTTCAAATGTTGAAGTGGAAACCGAATTTACAGTTTCGCTACTGTTATGTGACCGCTTTTACTTGCTGATGGTGTAGAAACAGTGAAACGTCAGTATTGGAATGGATGAAACTTTATTTTATGTTGGATTCTCCCCGTTTTTTGGACCAGATACACAGGTAAACTTCATGGGAGCCAGGAACAAATTTTATAGGTGGGCTGCCCTTTCACAAGGCCCGGGACAACATTCCCAATTGTCCCACCTGATGACGACCCTAAAAAAAATCCATTCCACAGGAAATCTTTGACATCTATGCAGCACTGTTGCATCACAGGACACGTCCAGAAGAGGGCGCCACACTTCTTCGGCTCATTCTCGCACTGCCATAAACACAGTCTGCTCAAAGCAAACTTAAAAGCCTGAGAGGAAAACAACTTACGGTTATTTTATTGTATATGCCTTTTTTGCTACTTTGTTTGCAGTATTTCTGAGGTCCTCGGTTTCGTTTGGAAATAAAAATGATTGAGGTGTAAATGTAGATTAATTTCCATGTTGTGTCTGGTCACATACATCCACAAGATGCAGACCAAAGAGAATTCTGAATTTTGCATATCAGTTTACAAAATTTAAATGTTTTTGATTTTATATATGTGTATACATTATCAAATACTACTTTAAAAAATGTATAGCTCAAAATATTAAATTGTTGTTTATCTCTGTATTTGTTTATAAGTGCCGAGCTAACATTTTCAGTCAATGCCAAGTGGTTTCCTTAAAAAGCATATTGACTTTGACTTTGTTTATATATTTGGAAATATTTATCATATAACTCATATTCTGTGTATACTCATCTCTTACTCATCTATGCGGCATGAGAGTTAAAGGGATAGTTCACCCAAAAATGAAAATGACCCCATGATTTACTCACCCTCAAGCCATCCTAGGTGTATATGACATTCTTCTTTCAGACGAATAAAATCGGAGTATTAAAGGTGCTGTATGTAGGATTGACACCGAGTGGTTGAACTAGGTATTGCAGTCCAAATTCAAAATATTGGAGAGGGTTTTTTTTCACCCGGCCCCTCCTCCTCAGACGTGACGCACACGCAGGTTGCCAGATTGACGACACCAATAGGAACGAGCGCACTTGACGATGAATGAAATTAAATACGCTGTGTTTTCCGCCAACTGGCAACCCGGGGTGCCGAAATGCAATTGGGTAAACTGGCAGTGGGTGGGTTTCACAAACCAGAACAGAGACAGACATTCCGGCCCGGAACGCACATTTTCAAAGGAGAATAACTGACTGTAGCATTGTTTTTCAGATAAACAAGTATGTTAACTTAGCATGTTTCTTAAATATCTGCAAACATATTATGGTATTTTTATGCTTTAGTAGAGTCAAAAACTTACAGTACCTTTAAATAATGTTCAGGATAATCCATGCTTTATAATGGGAGTGGATGGTAGCCCAAAATTTGAAGTCCAAAAAATTGCACCCATCCATTATAAAAGAAGTCCACACAGCTCCGGGGGTTAATAAAGGCCTTCCGAAGCGACTCGATGCGTTTGTGTAAGAAAAATATCCATATTTACAACTTTATAAACCTTAATCTCTAGCTTCCACTAACTGTCGTACACTCATTCACGAGAGAGTGGCGTCCAGTGAATGACGTAGGCGTAGCATAAGCTCCGGTGAGAATATGCTAGTCTCGCGAGAAAACAAGTTTTGTTTACAGCAAAGGAAAAACAGTGTCCTCTTGGCTTATATTGAAATCCTCCGACATTTTTCTTTACAAATCCTCGTTTTGTACTACTAATTTGTGGCCGATGTTTTGTTTTGCTCTCTCCTCTGCTCTTCCGCGTTCGTCACCGCGTTTGCCTACGTGCTACATCATCCGCTGGACGCCACTTTTGTGAACAAGCGTACGACAGTTAGTGGAAGCTAGAGATTAAGGTTTATAAAGTTGTACATTTGGATATTTTTCTTACACAAACGCATCGCGTCGCTTCAGAAGGCCTTTATTAAACCCCCGGAGCCGTGTGGACTTCTTTTATAATGGATAGGTGCAATTTTTTGGACTTCAAATTTTGGGCTACCATCCACTCCCATTATAAAGCATGGATTAGCCTGGACATTATTTAATATAACTCCGATTGTATTCGTCTGAAAGAAGAAAGTCAAATACACCTATGATGGCTTGAGGGTGAGTAAATCATGGGGTAATTTTCATTTTTGGGTGAACTATCCCTTTAAGCCATCTAATTTTGATAGATCACTTCATTTGAGGTAAACAACATGACATTACTCATGTGAAGAAACTCATGTGAAAAAGTGTGTAAATGCTTGATCAAAGAGGATTTTGCAATAAATGTTTCACTTGGAATTCATCTGAATCAGACAAATGTGCCTGTGCTATTACTTTTCTTACTTTAAGAAGCAAGGACCATGTTTTCATCACAAAAGCTATTCTGTACATTCCTTGTACTGTCTAACGCTTTGGTTTATTTGTAAATTAATGATTTATGGACTGTATACATGCACAGAATACAATATTAAAGAAATTGTATGGTACTAAAATGAGGCAGTGTTTGTCATGTACTGTGCTAAAAGGATATATGTCATCAGTTTCTGACAACATCATGTTTGCGTGATACTATAGGGAGATGAGAGGGTCTGTATTACTATTGGAGAAAGTATAACAGCTAACTTGGATCATGTGTGCTTTAATAACCAATCACATTACAGCCTTACAGAGTTGTACGACACTCAGTCGCCGTTTATGGATACCATAGGAATGAATGAGAAGTGCCGTAAGCTGAATCCCACCTGTCGCAAAAAGTCAGTGACTTCTCTTATAAAACAGATTTTTTTTTTCGTGGTAAACTTGTTCAATCCAAAAGTATTGTTAAACATGTTGAAGATTAGCAGATAGGCTGTTGATTCATTAAAGGTGGGGTAAGTGATTTCTGGTAGCCAATGTTGATATTTCAAATCACCAAAACAAACACGCCCCTACCCCAAAAGGGTCTCGCTCCTATTTTGATAGCTCCGCCCCACACATACGTACGCAACCCAGGCAACGATTATGACACACGAGCATATTCAAGCAAATGCCAGCATATATTAGTTCTGTGCAACAAAGCAAAACCAACGTTACACTCACCTATCAAGAAGAAACAAAGCAACCTCTGCGTCCGATCGCAGGCCTTCCCGCTCCTTGAGTTCTTTCCAGCACTGGAAAGCAGATCCAATATTTACACGGGTCCTATTTCT